CCCTCCCCCTCCGGCCCCCCTCCTCAGGGCCCAACCCCCCTCTCCACTACCCTCCCCGCACACACACCCCAGCCGAGACCTCCCCACCTGGAGTCGATGAGCGAGGTGCGGTTGGAGCCGTCATCACGGACATGCAGCCACTCGATGGTGACCCGGGCCTGGTCACTGCGTGGAGAGAGGAGCTCATGCCTGCGGAGCGCGGCCTCAGGGACCGGCTCCTGGAAGAGGCGCAGCACGGCCTGCACCAGCTCGCTGTTGGGGGGCAGCCGCTGCTCCATGCTGAACACCAGCAGGCGCCTGGAGGCCTCGGACACCAGGAACCTGCCGGCCACCTCTGGGGACAACAGGAGGGTCAGTGGGGCCTCCAGAGCCAGGCACCGGGGACCTCTGAGCGTGGCAGGGCCCAGAACCTGGGAACACGGTTTCCCCAGTAATGCACTGGGAGAACCTGGAGCCTGGGAAACTGGTGGCCAAGTGAGAAAGAGCACCTCCACCTTAAAAAAATGTTCGGGCCAGCCTGGCTGCTGTGGCTCAGTTGGATGAGCATCGTCCCGTGCACCAGGAGGTCACGGGTTCAATTCCCCATCAGGGCACGTGCCCAGGTTTCAGCTCGATCCTCAGTAGGGGGCGTGCAGGAGGCAGCCGATGATGTTTCTCTCATTGATGTTTCTAACTCTCCCTCTCCCTCTCCCTTCCTCTCTCTAAAAATCAATAAAAAAATATTTAAAAAAAAATTTTCTGGGCCAGCCCTGGTCTCCTAAAACAGGCAGCCCCCACCCTCAGTGCCCCTGGGGGAGCGTACATGTGACACGCAGCCCTCTTTGCAGAGGCGGCAACACCAGGATGGGGGAGGGAATGGAGAGTGGGAGGCAGAGGACCGGCCAGTGGGCATCTGTGGTCACCAACTGAACCTGGCTTTTCCTCGGGGGCAGAGGGCTTTTCCTCAGGGGCTTTTCCTCTCTGGGGAAGTGTCCCCAACACCTGAGGCTCCAGGTTGGCAGCACGAGCTGAGGTGTTTGGGACCAGCCGCCTCCTCTCCCCAGGCGCCCGGCCTGGCCCAGGAGCAGGACCTGGCTCTGGGTGAGGGGCTGAGCCCCAGCCCCAGGGAGGTGAGCGCCTTGTAGGATTCAAACCCGGCACATCCCTGACAGGCTGCTTTCAAACAATGATCTTCAAAACTATGAAACCACCCTTTACATCCCATGTAATGCCCACAACTCACAGCGAATTTAACCTCACTTCTAGAGAAGCGAATAGAATCAGAGATGTTTGGTGACTTGTCTGGGATAAAACAGCAGAGCTCAAAGCTAAGAGCTAAAGCCAGAGCCCGTTCTCCCTAAGGCAGCTCTCTGCTGAGGCGGGCTCCTCGGGCTCCTCCACCAGCACGAGGCTCCTGGCCAGCCTACTGTCTCTCCCCCATTCTCCCCTCCTTCCACTTTGCTGCCCCAAGGACATCTGTTCTTGCCTTGGCTTTGCCAACAGGTCCAGCCTGGCACAGCTCCTCCTGGCCTCAGTGCAGACAGAGACCAGCCATCCTCACAGGCCATGGTCCCTGCTCACTGCATTGTGGACCCTGGACCCCCAGATGGGCACATCCAGTCTTACCCCCCAACCCCCAAAGGTCCAGGGTGCAGCAGGGAGGGATGGACAACCTCACCTCGGAAGTTCTGGCTGAACCTCTTCCCTCGGGATCGGGCCCCATGGCCACGCTTCAGCAGGGCCACATACTGGGCCCGCACGTGAGCAGGGGTGACCAGCTCCTCCACGTCACTCTTGTCCAGGACGGGCACCTCACTGAGGTGCAGCTGCTGCAGCAGGCTGCCCAGGATCTGCTCCTCGGTCATGGCCGCCCTGGGGCTGGGCAGGGGCAGTGCCCAGAGCACCCAGCAGAGCCACAGGGACCTCATGGTGCTAATCAGGAGGAGCAGAGCAGATGCGTCCCCTGAGGAGGGTCCAGGAGGGTCCCAGCTGGGTGTGCTGAGGGCCAGGCTGGGCCGGCTTTATAGCCAGCCCTACACTGGGGCTGGGGCTGGGTGGTGAGAGGGAGGGAGGGGGGAAGGGAGGGAGGTCACACCCCTCGCCCCCCTGGGAGCTCATCAGCCAGACAGGTCCATGAGCCCCGAGGAGGGGGCTGTCTAGAAAGGGCACAAAGGCTGTCTGTCCCTTGGCTTGGGTGCCCGACCAGTTAAATTAAAAAGCTTCTTTCCTGGAGGAGAGGTAGGGATCCCATTCTCTGCTACATCCCCTGTCTCCCAGTGACAGAGAGGACTGGAGTCCCTGGTGTTGGACTCTGAGTCCTGTTCTTACTGCAATTTAAACTGCCCACTCAACACCAGGGCTCTCTAAGGACCAACCTGCCTATAGGGATGAGCGTCTGGACCTGGTGCTCAGAGGGCTCCTGGGGGCAGCTGACATGCTGGGCTGTCCATGGTTAGGAAACTCAGTGTTTCCCATTGAGGGGTGCCGGTAGAGGGGTCTAAAGGGGCCTCGGAACACTTAGTACCAATGGAGTTCTGTCCAATAAGGAACCTGTCCTCTCCCTCTTCCTGGCTCTTCGTGGGTTTAAAGATAAGAGCTGAAAGGATCATCCAGTCCACCCTCTCCGATTTTTGAGCCAAGAAAACCGAGGCTCACAGAGGTGACAACATCCCCAAGATCACACAGTTAATGATAGATGCCTGCGCAAAGTCGCCTTCAGATTCCAGACCCAAAGTCCTTCCCACACCCTCCAGCTACTTCCAGGCAGAGCCCTGCGCAACCCTCGGAAGCTAGGCCAAGTACCCTCAGGCCAGGTGACGAGGTCTGAAGTCCGGGTGAGGGCAGGGAGCACATCTCCCAGTTTCCTGAGGCTCCCCCAGCCTGAATGTGGACTTGAGGCCAGTTGAAGAGTTTTCCCAGGGAAATCAAACAATTGGGCAGTCAGCCAGGGGGAGAGCTGCCAAGCGAAATACAGGACACCATTTGGGAAATCCTTATATGAACAAATTATTCGTTGTTTATCTGAAACTGAAGCTTTACTGGGAGTCCTATATTTTTATTTGCTAAATCTGGCAGCCCTAGCTGGAGGCTAAAGGGGGAAAGCGAATGTGGATTGGGAGACCCTTTACAATGGGCTCGTGAGTGGTCCAGCGGGAGGGCAGCCCCCAGGCTTTGTCATGCAGAAGACGCCACTTCCCCTGTCCACCCCCACCTGCATCTGGCCCAACTCCGCCAGGTCTGGTTGGCTGGAGGTGGTCCATTGACCCCAAGTCCGATCTTCCGTCCAGAGGGAAGAAAGGGAGTGAAAGTAATGGGGGGTGGGTCAAAGTAATGGGGGCAACTTGGACCTGGCCCTGAGCCCAGAGCTGAGGGGTTCGTGGAGGGCAGTGGGCCGGCCAGCATGGGGGGTGGGTACCAAACCTGGCACTCACATGGTCCTGGAAGGATGGAGGAGGGGGCCTGAGGCAGGAGGGTGGGTGAGGAGTGGGCCACGTGTCCACGATTGCCCTCCTGCTCCTAACAGGCCGGGATTTGACCCCAACCAGAGTCCTGGCTGCCAGGTGAGGGGTCAGAGGTCATCCTGCAGCCTCCATGGGTGGGGAACAAATAGGGCTAGAGCCCAGGATCAGAAGCAAAGGAAGCTGTGAGGTTGATAAAGGCTGGAGCCCAGGAGCAAGTTCACTTCTGGGTTAGAGCCTGGCATCTGGGGGTGTCCAGAGTGGCACATGTCCCCTTCACAGCCAGCAGCAGACACTACTGTGGGTGCTCCAGAGATGCTTCCAAGCCCAGCCTCAGCTGCCCCGGGCTGCCCCAACCCTTCTCCCAAACCTTACTAATCTAGCAACATGATCCACACCCTGTTTTCAAAATTATTAATTTCAATGTATCGCTACAAATTTTTTTTTAAATGATAGTGAAAAGTCTCTCCCTGCCTGGCCTGGTGGCTTAGCTGGTTGGAGCATTGTCCTGTACAACAGAAGGTTGCAGCTTCAATTCCTGGTCAGGGCACATATCAGAAGGTTGTGGGTTCAATCCCTGGTCGGGGCATGAACAGGAGGCAACCGAGCGCTGTTTCTCTCTCTCTCTCATCAATTTATTTATTTATTTATTTATTTATTTATTTATTTATTTATTTCTTAAATATATCTTTATTGATTTCAGAGAGAGGAAAGGAGGGGGAGAGAGAGAGACAGAAACAGAAACATCAATGATGAGAGAGTCATTGATCAGCCTGCAGCCCACAACCCGGGCATGTGCCCTGACTGGGAATCGAACCTTGATCGCCTGGATCCTAGGTTGACGCTTAACCGCTGAGCCATGCCCGGCCGGGCTCTCTCATCAATTTAAAAAGCATATTCTCAGGCCTGGGGTCCGAGGGCTGATGGGTGTAGGTTTGGGGCAGCCCAGGGCTCCTGAGGCTGGGCCTCAGGGCATCTCTGGAGCACCCACAGTAGTGTCTGCCCCTGACTGTGAAGGGGACATGTGCCACCCTGGAGACCCCCAGGTACTGGGCTCCAACCTAAAAGTGAACCTGCTCCTAGGCTCCAGCAGTCGCCAACCTCAGAGTCCCCTTTGATTCTGAGCCCAGGCCCAGTTTCAGCTCCTCCCCACCAATGGCATCTGGGAGCTGACCTCTGACCTCACATTTCCTTGAGGCATCACCTGACAGCCTGGACTCTGGTTGGGGTCAAATCTTTGCCTACAGGGGCAGGATCTCCACCCACCTGTTGTAGCCCCTACAACCCATCTCCCCACAGTGTCCTCAACTCCGGGTCCAAGGCTAGGCCCTCAGTCAGGGGCAGTGACCTTCACCTCCTCCCACTCCAGTTCCTCTCTAACACAGCAGATCTAGCTTCGGGTGACTTCCACACCTCTGACCTTCAGGCCCAACCAAACCCCAGACTCTCCTCCAGATCCACAGCTGGGGAAGCCAGGCACCTTCCTCTGCATGACAAAGGACAGGGGCTGCCTCCCTCCTGCCTGGCTAGTCAGTCCACTGTAAAAGTCCCAATCCACATTCGCTCTCTTCTGGCTGATGGCCCACTTATTTTATTTCCCTGGCAAATCTCTTGCACCCATGAGGAATCCACATTCAGAAAGTGGCCTGTGTTTGCAGAGGAATAATAGGTCTGGGGGATTGGCCCGGTGTCTGCCTCTATTGATGCCCCTCCTTAAGTCAATCTCCTGTATTAATGGTGTCTGGCCATCTCTCCTACCCCAGGCCAACAGCCTGTGCAAACAGCCTGAGGTCATAGACAGAACCTGCTTCTGGTTCCTCCTGTCCAGTCTCATGGTTTCGTGTGTCATTCATTCACTGATGATGCCAGCCTGACCACTCCACTGGGCGCCAGAACCGTATATCCAACTGCCCTTCCACCCTACCAGTTCCCATCTCGGTAAGTGGCTCCACCCTACACCAGAGCCGTGAGCTTCAGTTTCCTCATTTGCAAAAGTGGAGATAGGAACGTACACTCGATAAGGTTGTTCTGAGGATCTGGGAAGGTATATAAAGGGCCCAGCTCTGGGTTTGAGACATACTTGGCACTCAAAGATAGCAGCTATTATTTTTGTAATCTCTCACAAACCTGATCTCCTGGTATACCCAGGTCAGTTAATGGAGTCACCAAGCTGGGACCTTGGCCTGGCCTCCACGCCTGCTTCTCCTCGCCTGCCCCTGTATCACGGGTCTTTTTGCTTCATTAGCTCAAAAGCCCCCAGAAGCACTTACTAACCAATTGCCACTGGTTTGCTGAGCACACAGGTTGGGGAGCCTGTGGGCGAGAGGAGATTCCGTTTATCTACTTATCGATTTAAACAAATTGGTTTTTACACAATCAATTACGATATAAGGGGATGTGTTGGGGGAGAGGGGAGTCCTTAAGCCTTGTGGATTACCCTCTTCAGCTGGCTCTCTCACCTTCTACCCAGATGGCTGTTCTGCAAGGCTTCCAGAGTTTTCTTTCTTAAGCAAAAATACATCTGATCCCCCCACCACACTTAAAACCCTCCGGTGGCCTTCCCCGGCTTCATGGCCCAGCCTCCCCTGGGCCTTCCTGCCTCCCTATTGCCCAGTCACCCCCCCAACATACACTCCCTTCTTTCTTGCCCTGTAAAAGACAACATTGGGTATCAGGCCCCACCACCATCGCCCGGGGTCTCACTCCTGAGCCCACCCTGGCCCTTTACCTCTTCTATCTGGAAAACTCACCTTAACTTTCAAGACATATCTTCCAATCACCTCCTCCACTGAGTCTTCCTCTCCGCTCCCTGAAGTACCACCTCCATCAGAGCCCTTATCGGCTTATAGTATGGGCTTTGCAGCAATTTCTTTCATCTCAAGCTCCCCGCCAGATCAGGAGCCCCATTAGGGGAGGAAGAGATCGGGCCTGGTTTTATTTGAGGCTCCAGCGTCTGGCACACAGTGGTGCTCCGTGTTTGCGGGCTGAATAAATAAGTGAATGAACAGACGTGAGTCAGGCTAAGCCGGGTGCTTCTTACAACTCATCTCATTGAATCCTCACGCGGCTGAGCAAGTACAAGGTTACAGGAAGGCCAGCTTCTCTCACTGCCCTCCCTGCCTCCCCAACCCCCGCAATCCCCTGGGGCTTCTCTTTATCTGGGCCCCCATTTCCCAGGGCTGGTGCTGAGTGTCTTAGGATATTGACACCACACCACGGAGGGTCCTGATACATGAATAACTGCATTTCAAGTGCCCATAATAAGATCTAAATAAATACATATCGATTGGCAATCATGCAGACATTCTCGGCTTTTCACCTTTCTGGTCTATCTCCCTGGATACCCGGGGATGTTGGCTGCCTGCCTCGATCAGCTCCATTCAATTTAACAAGCATTTGCCCAGCTTGCAGGGTAGTGCCAGGCTGTGGTTCCCAGGCTGGCTGAGGGTCAGAAGCTCTGATTCTGAGATTTGGGTGGGGGGTGAGGATCTGCCACATTTAGAGAGGCAGAAAAGACAAGGAGAGGCATTTTCAGTGGAGGAAATGGGTGAGCCAACACAGTGGGGGGGGCATATGGGTAGGGGTACGTCTGGGGTCCAGACAAGGGGAGCATTTTTGGAAAGGGAACTCAATAAATGCTAGTTTCCTCTCCATTTCTCTTGATTTAGAAAGGGAGGCAATCAATCAGTTTGAAAAATCAGATGTGGCCACCAGATCTGGAGCCAGTGATGCCTGGAGGACAGGGGTCATGTGCCCACCCAGACCAGAGCTCTGGCTCCCCCAGGCCCTGACTCTGAGCCTCCAATTCCTTAACTGACCATAAAATCAACAGCAACCTCAGTTTTTGGAGCTCACCTCCTGCCAGACACCAGTCCAGCCCTTAATCTCATTTAATCCTCGCAGCCACCTTCCAGGTAGGGACTGCTATTGTCCTCATACTGCAGATAAGTTCCTGAAGGGTTAAGTAGCCCAAGGTCAAATGACTAGTGAATGATCTGACTCTCCAGGCCTCTGAGCAAGACTGGTGGGTATTCATTCATTCAGATGACCTAGGAGAAGCGTGAATTCAGTCCACAGAAGATAAGGCTCCTCTTCCTCCACCCTGGACGCCCAGGGGAGGGGCACAGCTGTGTGGTGGCGCCTTTCCCACCTGGGATGCTGGTGGTGATGGTGGAGATGGGCAGAGGGGAAGCTCAGTTCCAAGAAAGAAAATTCGAGTGCTCCCATCTCGAACAAACACTAAGCTGCTTTGTTTTGTGAAAACACCTGCCACAGCTGCCACACGGAGCACCGAACTGGATAGGGTGCCTCTGATCGGGTTTCTCACCCTGGGTTTTGTAGCCAGCAGGGGTTAGTTGGCCTGGGCCACTCACTGGTTAGCGCCCGGCGCCCTCTAGTGGCGCCGAGGAGCTTTTCCTCTGCAGCTGGACAATGCGGACTGGACAGAGCTGGGCTTCCGGGACTAGCTTTCAGTGTGGGCCTGCTGTGTAAAGGACATTCTAGGAGCCACCTGCTGTCCTTGAGGGTTTATTTGTGAGACGAGTGGGAGGGAAATCAGAAAGAGGACTTGGGATACGAAGGCTGGAGTCCTGGCCCCAGCTCCCCTAGCTGCCTTAGATAAGTGCCAGATGGGGCTGCTCACGCCCTCCCCACCTGCTTCCCAGGACCACTGTGCGAATCCTACTGGCTGTGATGAGTGACAGCATCTTGTCAGCTCAAAAGCACTACTAAAGAGCAAAGTATTGTGTTCATGAGAAAATGACCAACAGAGTAAGGTCCAGGATGCTAAGGGCCAGTGAAGGGCTGGCAGTGGGAGCAAGAGCTGGGGTAGGGGGGTGAGGAGAAGGGGAGGGCACCCCCGGAGAGGGGTGGGCTGAGCAAGATCCTGCAAGGCAGGGGCTTCAGCAGACACAGACACATCCGTTTAGGGCAAAGGGAGCCTGACTAGGAGATGCGGGCATAGCTGTTAGAAAAGGAAGCCCATAAATGCTCATTTGTTGTACCTTCCTTAGTTCAAAAGGTAGGGAGAAACGACGGTTTTATTTCCTTCTATAAAACTGAAAAAAATTAAAATGTCTATTTCTGAGCAGGTATCCCAGCAACTTGGCATTCTCAAAACAAAGTCCCCACCCACTGAAGGTTGTAAAGAAGGCCAGTGCCACCCCCACTCTGGGTTCTGGGTCTCCTTCCCAGGCACCTGCCAGGGACCCCTGCCTACACCCCCCAGCTCCTCATACAGCCTAGTTTTCAGGTCGTTCCTTGTGTTTGACAGAAGGGCCCCTCAGGGCAGCAAGGGTGGCAATGCCCGCCGGAGGCAAGACAGTCAGCGCTTCAGAAAATGGGGCTTGGTTTTAGGTACACAGACCTTTCCTCTCACTGGCTATATTCCTGACCTTCCCAAGCCTTACTGTTTCTATAAGTAAAACGGGAAGATAAAAAGTACATTGTAGCCCAACCAGCGTGGCTCAGTGGTTGAGCATCGACCTAGGATCCAGGAGATTGTGGTTCAATTCCCGGTCAGGGCACATGCCCTGGTTGCAGGCTTGACCCTCAGTGGGGGACATGCAGGATGCAGCTGATCAATGATGCTCTCATCATTGATGTTTCTCTCTCTCTCTTTCCCTTTCTCTGAAATCAAGAGACATCTATTTTTTTTAAAGTACATTATAACTATTCAATTAAAGATGAAATGAGATTGTGTATCTTGAACACAAAATATGGTACCTGGCACTTGGAAAGATAACATGTTTGTTTATTAAGGAACTTTCTGTTTTAAATTATGTGTGAGAAGCTGTTTGACAAGGAACATGGCTGGGCTTCCCATCTGAGACCAGAGGAAACCCTGCGGTGTGTGGGTTGCAGAAAGGGGAGGGATTGTGTCAGGGCCACACTGCTGAGGTGCCACCAGGCTGTGGACAGCAGGGGAGTGCAGTCAGGCTCTCCAGCATCCCTCTGAGCATTGCTTACCAACGGTCACCTAGTGACACTGATGAAGCGTGGTGTGTTTGTGTTCCTGAAGGGCCAGTGGGGAGCAGTGAAGACACTTTTTAATCTGTTCCCTAGGGAGATCATGCCTGCTTGTGGCAATCAACTATCTAAGTTGAGTAAAATAAAGAAAAAAAACTGAGAAGTCAGCCGCAACCCCACTTCTCCAAAGTAGCTACTATTCACAGTTGGGACAGAGGTTTGGGGTCCTGAGAACAGCAAGCTATGAAATGAGATTGAGGCCTGCTCTGGCGGGAGGGGGCTGGGGAGGGGCAGGGGTGCGTTGGGGAGGAGGTTGTTAGCCCCCTTCCTTACTCTCTTACCCCCTCTCCACGCTGCCTTTTCCTCTGCCTTCCCATGTTTTCCTCATCTCTGTTTCCACATCTGTCCCGGCCCCTGCGCAACTCAGAACAAGGACAGGGCATTACTGACTAGGGCACACCAAGGCGTCCTGTTGATCCATTTCACCAGCTGATGGGTTGTTTCTACGTGTTGACTATTATATGTATAATGCTGCCATAAACATTCCTGTGCAAGATCTTCGTGGACATGTTTTTATTTCTCCTGAGTCAATACCTAGGAGTGAAATTTCTGGGTCACTGGTACCCAACATAACATTCTGAGAAACTGCCAGACTATTTTCCGAAGTGGCTACACAATTTATATCCCTGCCAGCAAGTATGAGGGTTCTGACTTCTCCACATTCTCACTAACATTTATCTTTTTTTTTTTTTTACTAAAAAGAGTGGGTTTGAAATGCTACCTCATTGGGTTTCAAGTTGCATTTCCCTAATAACTAATGATGTTGAGCATCTTTTCATGTGCTCATCTGCCATGTGTATATCTTCTTTGGTGAAATATCCATTTGAATCTTTTGAGGCAACTCATTTAACCTCTTTGAGTTTCACCTTAAATTATACCTAGCTCCTAAGGCCATGAGATTTTATGTTAGGGATTTACCAAGGGTCTGCCACAAATGGGGGCTTAAAAATGATAGCTTCCAGCCCGGCCAGGTGTGGCTCAGCGGTTGAGCAACAACCTAGGATCAAGATTGGGGTTTGATTCCAGGTCAGGGCACATGATCCCCAGTGGGGGACATGCAGGAGGCAGCCGATCAATGACTCTCTCATTACTGATGTTTCAACTCCCTCTCTCCCTCTCCCTTCCTCTCTCTGAAATCAATAAAGATATATGAAAAAGAAAAAAGAAAAAAAGATGGCTTCCAATACTGCTATCACTTTGGCCCCATAGGAATGAGCCTTCCCTATGGGCTCTCAGGATGGGAGTTGGAGCCAGGGCTGCACGGACCCCGGGGTCCACTGTGCTCTGGATGTCCTGTTGAGCAATTCCACATGATCTCATTCCACACCCACCAGAGCCTTTCTGTGAAGCATGACCTCCATACTTATGGGGGATGAAACCTTGAGGCCAGAGATGTTCAGTAACTTCAAGGTTGCCTAGTTGGAAGTGGTAGGAACTCGGATTTTAACTCAGCTGATGCTGACGCCAATGGCACAGGCAGCGAGCCCCTGGGGACAAGTGCTGGAGACACCAATCTGCTCAGGAAAACCTTAGGCTCAGTCTGACTGTGCAGATGGCACACCCAGCCTCAGCTTCTGAGAGGCAGCAGAGCCCGTGGCTAAGAACATGGACAGACAGCCTCACCACTGACTGGGAGCTCAACTGGGTAAACTGTTATCCCCTCTAGGCCTTGGCATCTTCTATAAAGTGAGGAAGACAGAAGATCCTCCCTAAGAGGGCAGTGGGAGGAGCCAATGCTTCGCAGGCCACTTGGCTTTTCCCTGCCATGAGCTTTGGCCCATCCTAGAACACCATCTCCTGACCCTGACCCTGACCTTGACCCTCGGGGCCCGGCTGGAGCAGAATGCCACTTCAGTTCTCAGGGCTTGGCCCCTTATTTCCTCTCATCCCTACTTCATGCCCTTAGACAATGCTCCCCACAGAAGCAGAGAGCACCTACTCAGGGCCTCGAGTTCTCTAGAATGATGACTTAGGATTAAACATAAGGAAAGGTGGGTAATACAAAATAAAACTTTATTAAAGCAGCTAAACTTAGCGGAAATGAACGATACTTTCTCAGTGGTATATCTATGAAACAACAGTGAAATACAGGACAGTCTCACTTTGTGCTCCTCACTCTCAAAGAGAAATGCCCTTGTCATGTTTTGTACCTTGCTTTGGGCTCCAGTTGGAGAACCATAGTTGAAAGTCCTCCCAAGACCTTCCTACCTGAGCTGGAGCTCTGACAGTGGGAGGTATGCATGGTTCCATCTGGCTTCCAGCATCAACCACTCCCGCCAAGCATCTTCCAACATGGGAGAGGAGGGGCAATGAGGGCTGCTTGGTCTGAACAGATGTAAGGAGCCTGAAAATCTTAAATTTTATAGCAAGGATCTAAAAACTACCTGAGCCTGCCCTTGTCTTGCTCGACCCCTCAGGCGAGGGCTCTGGCCACAGGGGGGGGCAGGGGCTGCCTTAGTCTTTCTTGCCTCCCGGGGCCGGGTTTCTTGTGAGGACACTCCCTGAGTTGTAGGGAGTCAGCGTGGACACTGTGGGAGATTCCAGCTTCACTCTGTCCAGGAGGGTCTTCTTGAGGGCAGCTGGGGATATCTTTTCTTGGTCAGCCATAGACTGCAGCTCTCTGGAGACAGCGCCCAAGAGGGTTGAAAGAGGAAGGCAATGAACTTTGGATCCAGAATTTCTCCAGGCTTCCCATCCACACAACTCCCAACCCTTGTTGACTTTATACCACCCCAAATTAGAAGCCCAAACCAAACAATCCCCCCACCTTCTTAGACATGCTTTTTAAGTTAAGTATAGGTTACTACATAGAGCAGCAAGTGGTATCTGTGATGACATGGGAAAAGAGAAAGTATGGAAAGTCACAGGGTTTGAAGTCATGAACTTGAAGTTGAATCCTGCCTCCATTACTTACTAGCTGTTTGACCTTGGGAAACTGTCTGAGTCTCAACTTCCTCACCTAAAAATCAACTAATTCCAACTATCAGAACTGTGGTGAGAATTAAATGAAGTAAGGCCTGCAAACCCTTACCTAATAAGTCGTAGTTATTAACAGAGCACAGATTCCAACACTCCTAATGGGACCAAAGACAACTGGTTCTGCACACAGTGCCCAGCCCAGCCCAGGGGCCTACTGGGAATCAGGCACCTGGGGCGGAGGTGAGAGACTCACCGTGTTCGGATGCAGGAAGCCTCCACTGCGTTGATGAGCAGGGACCGGAAGCCGCCACTCTCTAGGAAGTGCAGGGCATGGATGGTGGCCCCCCCGGGGGAGCAGACATTGTCCTTGAGCTGGCCTGGATGCTCCTCTGAATCCAACAGCATCTTGGCAGCCCCCTAGAGCACAAGGGGACTCTGAGAGGAACAAACTGCAGGCACACCTTGGGATAGGCTGTCCCAGTCCTTACCCCAGCTTCCCAACGAAGCCCAGCCCCCAGTGCACTGACCCACGTGTCCCATCCCCCTCACATCCTGGTTCAAAACACACAGAGGGAAGATACTGACCAGTCCTTACCCCAGCTTCCCAACCAAGCTCAGCCCCCAGCGTACTGACACATGTGTCCCATACCTCCCCCCACATCCTGGTTCAGAACACGCAGAGGGAAGATACTGACCAGCAAGGCTTGGGCCCCCAATCGGACTGCCAGGCGCCGTGGCAGGCCCATCTTCACCCCACCATCAGCCAACGCATCCAGGGCCATGAACGCCTGTGGAGACACTCACTGAGTCTTGGGGCAGCAAACAATCAAGGGAACCCCCGAGGGTCTGCTTTTCCCGATGACTGGAGCTAGAGCCAAGGATCAGTTTCCTCCACCAGCCAGCTGCACCCAACAGGTGGGCAGCACCCTCAGCTCAACCCTGCCTGCCATCCCATCTTGCTCCCCTAGGGCCCCAGAAGGCTGAGTAAGTACATGAGGGACTCACATAGGCAGGCCCACTGCCGCTGAGCCCCGTGACAGCATCGATCAGGTCCTCCTCCACCTCCGTGCAGAAACCCACGCTGCTCATGAGCTGCTCCAGGAGCTGCCCATCTTCCACCAGGGCGTGGGTGCCTGTGGCATACACCGTGGCACCCTCCCGCACAACCACAGGGGTGTTGGTCATGCAGCGAATCACCTTGGGGGCCGGCTGGAACGTCATCAGCTTCTGGAGCAAGAAAGAGGGTGAGAGCAAGTTGCCAGGGCACAGCTCCCACTAGCACCCACCCTTCCCCTCACACAGGGGCGCAGAGCTGAGACAAGCACCTTCTCCACAGAGCTGATGGTGACACCGGCTGCACAGGAGACCACGATGTGCCTGTCCTGGACGTCAGCCCCAATCTCGTCCAGGATGAAGGGGATAATGTGTGGCTTCACGGCCAGGAACAGGACGTCGCTGTGCCTCACCGTCTCCTTGTTGTTCCGGGTCAGGTTCACCCCCATCTTCTGCAGGAGGAAACCATCCGGCTCACAGTGCGAGGTGGACTCACCAGCCGCAGACCCTCCCAAGGAGCAGCTGAACCCCTGCCAAGCCTACTCTGCCAGCTGCAGCCTGGAATCCCCTGCCTTGTCCCCTCAGGGTCTGCCCCTAACCCCACTGGCACAAAGTTGTCCCATATTGCTCCTGGGCAAGTGAGCACAGGTGCAGAGCATGGACGAACTTCTCCGTGGCAACCAGAGAATGGCTGTCCCACATCCCCACCAATCCTCTGGCACCCCAGGCACCTCTCTGCCAGGTGAGAAGTCCCCATGGCTGGAAAGTGACAACCGGGAAGGTGAAATGCTAGCACCCAAGGGTAAGAAGCAGGGCTGGGTCAGGCCCTATCGCACATGCTCTCTGTGGGGTCCAGGGGCTGGCTGGAGGACACCCATCCCTGCAGGACTCCAAACTGAGAAGCAGGGAGGGCCCATGAAGACAAAACGAGGAGTTACTGGGTACCTACTACGTGCCAGGTGCTTTCCATACATAAATACCTCAATGAGTCTAACCACCCCAGTGCCTGGATTTGAACCCCAGTCTGTTTGCCTGGGTGCTCTCACCACACTGAGCTGCCCCAGGGAAAGTGGAGGATCCTGAAGCTCCCGATGGG